AGGAGCAAGGACGCTACTAGGGGCTCCTGGCATCGCTACTAGGAGCATTCTTACTACTAGTAACAAGAAGCATCTAGGAACATCTAGGAACCAAACGATTAGTGCGAGCGCTTCTTCAAGGAAGCTCCCCCTGCCGCCTTTAGGGCGTTGAATAGCTTAAGTAGCTACTGCGTCCATTAGGCAGTAGCGTACTAGCTACCTCTATCCTCCTAGCTACCTCTTTACCTCTTCGGCCTACCCCCACCCGCGGGATTTGTCACGCTTCACCCGCATTTGCGCCAGCGCTGTGTTTCTGCTACTCCACTGCGCCTGCTTTGCTTCGCATGTGGCCACGCTCGACAGCTCAGCATGGACGTCTTTTTTGTTCCATTTCTGACCGAGAACCAGAACCTATTGCAAGGCCGATCTTGGTTTTCGCACAGTAGCACGACTCATATAATCTCATTTGATTTGAACTGGCGTTGACGTTTAGAGTGATGAAAGGATGTTTGAATTCGGTGAATTTTTCATGCTCGAGCCCCCATTGAATGGTTCCGCATGCTTGTCTCTGGTCTACAAAACGTGCTGCGATGGTGCCGTGCTGCCTTATGCTTCATTTCAGCGTGGAGCAGAAGGAGACATCCAAGGGCAACGAAACAAAGGCCCTCTTGAGAAATCCAGGCACGTGTTTGCTACTGTATGTATTAGGGTGGAGGCCATCGCTAGTAGGTTGGAGGCCATCGATCTTAGGTTGGAGGCCACTGCTACTAGGTTGGGGACCATCGCTAGTAGGTTGGAGGTCCTACTGTCTCCCAGGTCCAAGCTGTCTCCAGAAGGACATGGCCAAGAAGAGAACTTCACATCTGATCATCTCCCATGAGCTTGATCCCGTTACTGCAGGAGAACGTGATGTTTCAGTGGCCGATGTCACACAAGTCACCGAAAACTGCATATATGAACGAAAAGGGACACCTCTTGTGCCTGAGCTCGGCTTTGAAAAGAATGGCACTAGTGGATGTCAGTGATTCAGAAAGTTCTGATAAGTCAAGGTCAGACCGACATGCAGGCATTGCAGTCTTGGATCACGATGAGGTCCCAGCTGAAGAGAGAACGCCTGCAGCGAAAATGACGATGATTTGGGTTCATGAACCTGATGAGCGGTATCGTCGGTTGCTCTAGTTCCAAGACGATGGGTGATCAAGGCGGCCAGACAGGTGAAAAGTGCAAAGTAGCGATGCCCTTTGTTACTACTAGCTTCTTGTTACTACTAGTAAGGCACCTGTCACTAGTAGCGTGGCACTTGTTACTACTAGCCTCTTGCTACTACTAGTAATGCCAGGAGCTACTAGTAGCGTCCTTGCTCCTACTAGTAATGCCCTTGGCTCCTAGTAGCGTCCTTGTTCCTAGTAGTAAGGCCAGGAGCCCCTAGTAGCGTCTCAGTATCTGTACCATATGGAGAGGAACCCATATATTTTTCAGCATCCCTCTATGTCTAGCAAAAGCTGGTGGCACATGCCTTCTGCGGGTGTGGGGTTGGCAGATGTTCGGCTTGCCAAGAGGCAGGGTCACCGCAATGATTGGCAATCATTGCGGTGCCCCTGCCTCTTAGTGCTGCAGCCACACTTATTGCTCACCATAGCAATGCCAGGGCCTCGAAGCCAGAATAAGAGTTCGTCGAGATTCCATCATAGAGTTCCGCAGATGAAGCAAGGAAGGATCTGTCGGCAACGCGCCGTTCGCCTTGGCTTGGCCATGAAGTACTTTGTTGATGGACAAGGTGCTCAAACGATCCTGATGCAAGAGGACCAGTACGAAACTGCACGCTGAAGAAAAGACTTGCTGCGTGAAACTCTGCATGAGAAGGTCTGAACAGGTGAACAGCTCGCTGAAAGCATGAGTTTGTATCACCCGTTGAACATTTTTCTTTGACTGACTGCCTCAAGCTTTTCTTGCCAAGGCTGATTATTCTTTTTACACTCAGTGCGGATGCCTGGATGGGGGAAGGTCGGAGGCAACGCTTCTTGGCCTCGCTTGTGACTGCTAAGCTCGCCGAGGCTGGCTGGATTCTGGAGACTTGGGTTGGCTGATACAGGCACATGGTGGGCTGTTGAATGGTGGGCCTGTTTGACTCAACGGATGCTTTTGAGACTCTTGAGGGTTTTGGAAGCTGAAATGAGTAAGCAGCCTTTGAGGCCATAGGTTTGCTCGCGCTGCAAGTCTCGATTTCCTTTGCCATGACCTTAGATGATTGCCGTATGCCGCTTCCCATCGTGCAATGTGCCACTTTGTGCTTGGTAGGTTGGAGGCCATCGCTAGTAGGTTGGAGAGGTTGGAGGCCATAATTAGGTTGGAGGCCATCGCCAATTTCTTTTTATTTATCTATCTTTGAGTTGTTCTTTTCTTTCAGCTTACGTTGTGACACTTTGTGCAGTTGCTCAGGTTTGTTCCTGGACGGCCTGGAAGGAACTGAAGAGTCGGCAGTTTCCTTTCAATCGGTGAACCACTCAGACACTGCGGGAGATTTTGTCTGACCATTCCAACCTGATGGGCCAAGGCTTTGCCTTTTGCCCCTGCTGCCCTTGCTAGGCACAACAATCACGAACTCTCTGTGATCCGCCAGGGTTTAGGGTTTGAGAGTCATGCAGGTCTTGGCCAGCTCATTCAACCATGGCTTGCATGGAAGGACCTTTAACGCATTTTTGTTTGTAGCTTCAACCAAGTGGCATCTTTACGACAACTAAAGGAACACCGCAGGAACTTCGAGCTGGTCAAGGTGCCCAGAGTCACGGCCAGAGCGTTCACAGGCAGGTCGTGGCCAGTGCATGCACACATCCTTGACGGCTGAGCACAGTCGTTCAAGTGATATCGCACCCCTTGTTTCTAATCGAGTCATCCTCAGGTTGCATGGAGGCCATCGCTAGTAGGTTGGAGGCCATCGCCTTTTAGTCATCCTCAGGTTGCATACCTGTTGTTCTAGCAAACCTCCCTCTCGCCAGATTTTGCCATGTCAAGAGCTTTCAAGTAACAAAAAGCTATTAGAAACAAGTGCCACGCTAGTTGCAACAAGTGCCTTACTAGTAGTAACAAGAACCTACTAATTGTTATTACTAAGCTTTTCCATTTCGCCCTTCGGCCTTGACAGATACGCACAGCTTCATAGGGGCAGGGTGATGCAGACAGCACCTCCGTTCGGACGCCAAGAACACTTTTGATCCTGTCAGACTCGTCATGATTGGAGTCCCTGGAGAAAATAACAAAAGCAAAAAGGCGAAAAAAGGAAGGTAAGGCACCCTCGAGAAGGGGCCTTACCTTCCCTTTTTCATCATTTTTTAGTTTTCTTCAGCTTGTGCTTTCGGTCAACCTATCACTGACTCACTCGCAAATGTTCAGCTGTCAGACTCAACAAGGCGCTTCAGTTGCAGCGGTGTGGAAGCAGTAGCGCAAGGCGTGATGCTTCCAACAGCGGCTGAACAATACATACGATTGCTTTTCTGCTTTCCACAACGGCTTCTGCGGGAAATGAGTTATAGATTGAGTGGAACAGTTGAATTGATAAACAGCTTGGAACCAATTGGAACTTCCTGCCACCTGCATAGACACTTCAAGTCCTTTTCATTCATATTCCGTGTGTAGCGCTTTTTTGATCGACTGGCCGCTGGCCTGGGAGGTGCAGCCTTCGCTGCCGTTGCTCTTTGTTTGTTAACTGGGGCCCTTTGGACACCGCCCAGCACTTAGCCTCCAACCTAATAGCAATGGCCAAGTAGGAACAAGTTTCTATTTTTTGCCTTGGAACTCAAGGGAAACCTTTCAACACACTGAAGCTTTCTGCTGTGTAAAGCCCAGCATCAGGGGCAAACAAATCAGACATTTTGAATTTTCAGCCATCACCTCAGGTCTGAGCTGGATGTGGAGAGCCGCATGTTGCCAGCCTGGCAGAGATTGTTGGTTGCCCTCGTACGGTGACAAGCAGTGTTGCAAAGTGTTAATCAATCTCAACAACGGCAAATAGACAGGCAGTGAAGTCGCAGCACCTTTATAGCTTCTGAAACTGTTAACCCAGTGTCCGCAGGCTGTGGGTTTGTGCTGGGCTTTCCCTACTATCGGCTTGCTTGGCCTTGGCCAGACGCTGAGATAATTAGTCATTTCCTTTTGATTCCAAAGATATTCGGATGAATGGTCATTGTGCCCGGTTACCACGATGAGATTGGCTAGCGGCTCCCGCGCCTGAGGTGGAGATGGATATTTCACTGTCAGACACTGCTGCAGCAACCCTGTCCTCCCGTCCAGGCCAAGCTCCGGAGAACGAAAGAAGAGAGCCTTCTTGGAGCTTACCTCCTCCTTTTTTCGTCAGTTGTTTTCTGAATAAGGCCATTGCTATTAGGTTGGAGGCCATCGCTAGTAGGTTGGAGGCCATTGCTATTAGGTTGGAGGTCATCGCAAGTAGGTTGGAGGCCATCGCTAGTAGGTTGGTGGCCATCGCTAGTAGGTTGGAGGCCATTTCTATTAGGTTGGAGGCCATTGCTATAGTAGGTTGGAGGCCATCGCTATAGTAGGTTGGAGCCCATCGCTCTTAGGTTGGAGGCCATCTACAAAGAAAGGTTTCAAGTTGATTTCATCGTATGGTTTCATGATTCAATCATTTTAGAAAGGCGTGAAATTCACATCAATCGGGATGCTTCAGTTCTTGGAGATCTCCCGTGGGAACCTTCCATAGAGTCCATACATGTTGGTTCCAACCTACTAGCGATGGCCCCCAACCTACTAGCGATGGCCCCCAACCTACTAGCGATGGCCTCCAACCATGATGAGATTCTCTGGCCTTGAAGGTCGCGCCTTTCCTTTGCACTTTGGACTGCGAGCGATTGAGGCAGAGTTTTGGCAGAGGAAAAATAGAACCGACTGGCAAAATCTTGGGTTTGGTTTTTGCACAGAAGATGTACTAAGAGCTCTCTCAGCACCTGCTACGTCCTTTTCGTCAAATCATTGCATCTAAGTAGTCTTGGGTTGTTGGTATTGAACAAGTGTTTTAAAGGGTTTAGAGGGTTTAGGCCATGGTCACACAAAACGAGCCAATGGTCACACAAAACGAGCCAATGTTGAAACATAATTCTTTGAGAGTGCGTACCATTTCTCAACAGCGGGCACTCCAAAAGATTCGAATAACCTACTAGCTGGGAATGGATTTGTGCGCCTTGCCAGGTTCTCTCACGAGTTTGGGTATGGGCTGTGCTGATGTCGCTGTGTTTTGGCAGAGACAGTATCTGCTCCACTCAGCACCCACGCTTTCACCGTTGTTTCTAATAGCAAACATTGTTACCACTAGTAAGGCACTTGCTCCTACTAGCTTCTTGTTACTACTAGTAAGGCACTTGTTACTAGAAGCGATGCACTTGTTCCTAGTAGCTTCTGCCTTTCTGTATCCTTTCTGTGTACTTAGTACTTGGCCAGTTCGCATCAATTTGTAATCTTCGTTCACCGCTTTGACTCTGAGGTTGTCGACTGAGCCGTTGCCCATTGGAGGTCGAGACATGGATTTTTTGCTAATCCTAAAAGCAGACCGCTCCAGAAGTCCAACCACATAGCAATGGCCTCCAACCTAGTAGCGATGGCCTCCAACCTAAGAGCGATATAGGGCCTGTGGTGAAGTCCAAGTATTCCGAATGGCCTCCAACCTAAGAACAATGGACTCCAACCTAAGAGTGATGGCTTTGCAAATGTCTTCCTTCTGTGAACCGGACGTCTTTGGAAGGCCTGCATTTGCTGCCCTTACTACTGTTGGTCGACTACCTGCTCACGGCCAAGGGCTCGGCTCGGCGATTGGACGAGTTCCTAGTAAGGCACTTGTTACTAGAAGCGATGCACTTGTTCCTAGTAGCTTCTTGTTTCTAATGGCAAACATTGTTACTACTAGTAAGGCCCTTGTTTCTAGAAGCGATGCACTTGTTCCTAGTAGCTTCTTGTTTCTAATAGCA